AAAAACAAGAATTAGAAAAATTAAAAAAGAGAAAAAGAAAGACGTCACGAACTTACTCGATAAGTCGATCCTAACTCCTTGGTTCAATAAGACTTCAAAAAACTCCTTGACTTCAAGAAACTTGAAGACACTAACATTAACAAAAACTAATTTCTAAATAGAAGCTCAAAGCTTTGATTTTATTAATTCTCAAAAGTATGATTATAAAGCTAGAACTTAAGCCTTTATATAGGCTTTTATTTTCTATTTCTACTTAGAATATGATTTTGGATTCCTATCCAAACTCTTAGACTTATTTTAATTAGAAAATAAATATAAAAATATTAAAACAATTAAGTTCTTATCTTAATCCTAAAATAATTAATTAATTAATCATATGGATAAGACTTAACATTAAAATATTAATAAAATAATACTTGACCCATTCCCGAGAATAATCCCATTTGGGAAAGTGTTTGGGGATGGAATTACTTTCCTCTTCTAGATGCTCTAGTTTAAGAAACTAGAATTTACTTTCTTGTTTAGGGCATTCCCATTTATGAAACTAAAATTTACTGTTCTGTTTGAGTCAATCTCATTTAGGAAACACAAGGATGTTGGACTTACTTGCATATTTAGGACAGGACCTGTGGGACTCCTTGCAAGAAAAAGATTTTTCCCTTTTTCACGTGCGCAACGAGCGTGCAGGTCTACTTATGCGTGTGCATGTCTGTTGTGCTGCATGGCACAACCTTGTGCTATAGTAGACTCATGGGTAATTATTCTGCAAGAGTCCAGATTTTTATAGGGTTCTTCCTTTATGTAGGGTTGCATCTTTAGAACTAAATTTAAGCCCTCTAGGATCGCATCACTTAATTTCTATTGAAAATTTATTCTATTAATTTAATATATCCATAATGTAATTATTTTGAAATATATAGGTTTAAAGTACCATTTTGAATAAAAAAAGAATGAAGATATCCAATAATTGGTTAGGTCAATACCCTGTCTATCCCTAGTAAGAGTAAGAGAAATAGAAAAATAAGATCTAATTAATTAGCTTTAAAGAATACTACTTTTTTTTATCAAGAAAAGCATACTATTAGCAAGACCTTATAAAGTTATCCAAAGCATTAAAAAGAGAGAGGCTTTATGAAATGGATCACAAATACATTGTCGAGGCAATATGACGCGATACCTGCTGAGGACGAACCTAAACTAGTAAAAGGCAAAAAGTAGGCTAGTACTGACTATCTTCTGGGAAACGAAATTAGACAATTGCAAAGTGACAGTACTCCATGCTATTTTATCATTGATCAAGTATCAAACAACGAGGTCGAACCACTAAACAGAAATCCCGGCCTAGGAAGAAACAACAACAGAAGGTGTTAGAACTTGAAGGGTAATGGGCCTCATGGCTAAAAAACGACTCGACCTGAAAATTACGATCCAAAAGTAAGCCCAAACGTAGTATGGATACAGGTTCCCGTAGGGTACAAATGTGTCACAATGGACATGTAAGATATTTGGCCTCCATGTCCATTGGTGTTCCAAGGTCCCATGATGAAGCAATTGAAGCGACCTTATACCCTACAAGAAAACCAGAGGCAGACAAATTCCTTGACACATAGACACGGAGGTCCACGCGTGAACGAGGCGACCCATATGTGCGCCGAGCATGCCGCCCAACCCACACACTTCATGCACGCGTGTCTACATGCACGAGCGCACAGTAGCACCCTTGCTCACGATCCGCTAGGACCACGCGCGTGAACAACTTTGTGCGTGTAGACCCAAGGGTTCGAACGCCCCCCCTCCCTTGTGGACGAGCCCGAAACAAGTCCAGTCAGCCTAGCATGCAACTCGCGGCCCTTGCAGATTGACCAGTCTCACCCACTCGGGTTGCCCAAACCCAACCGGCCCATCCTCAACCTTTTAATTAATTAATATTTTATTTGATTATTTTTTTGGACTTTTGGACTCCACTTTTAATTCCTCATGTTTTTAATTTAATTCCCACATGTCTAAATTAATTTCTCCATGTGTTTTATATAAAAATCATATGAGATAAGTCTTATCTTATTTTAATATAAATTATATCTCTAAAAATTATTTAACAAATTATCTTGTATTTAGAAGGGATATAATAAATATTTTATTATATAATTATCGCAGAATTAGATAGAATTTTATTCAAAATATTATTTTACTAATTTCTTTAAGAGATCGTAATCATCTAGAATTATTTCAGAAAATGCTATAAATAAATATTTGCCATAGGTTGTAAATACACTAATTAAAATCAAGTTGAGAGAAATTTGTAAAAGTTTAGGCTTTTCTTCAATTAGTTTTTTGCTAATTTTTAACTTCTTCAAGTTCTTTGAGGAGTATGAGTCTTCAGAAGTCTTGTTGAGCGAAGGAGTGAAGATCAACTTGTTAGTAAGTACGTAGCACTTTTTCTTTTCTTGTTTATTTTTTATAGTCTTTATTTTTGTATTTTTTTATGATTATAGATTTAATTAGAGGGGTGGATTTTTTATGTGGTTAAATTTCAGTATTGCATAACGTTGAGTGGGTTATAGGAGTTGATTTGATCCTCCCTATACCCTCCCGCGTCACAATATCAAGAACATGTTATATTCATATATGAGGCTGCAAGAATCGTATAATTTTCTTTTCTTCTTTTCTTGTTGATTCTCTTCTTCTTATTGCTTGGCGTTAACATTTTTTTGTTCATAGCCATATACTAGTTTGTTTGTAAGAATAAGGTTTTTCGAAAGAGAATAAGTAGTTGAATGTTCTCAATGATTCAAGAATTAATCCCATACTGCGTTAGAGAGAACATATCTATTATCTATCTTAAAACTGAGTAGTCTGAACAGAAAACATACTTTAAACAATAATATAAACACTTAAATAATACAATTTAAGTATATCTTCTTTCTCATTGTGAGGAAAAGGTCCAGGAGCAAAGGGAACCAACTTAGGGATATGAATCAAACCTAAATAAGAATGACGTGAAAAGTCTCTTGTAAAACTTAAACAATAAAAGTATATAATAATATGCAGTAGGAATAAAAAAAAAAACTCATGATTGGTGTGGAGTGGAAGATCTACTTATGATATAGTTCAAGAAAAATAATCTTTTTTTTTTAAATTATAACAATTTAAAGACTTTAAAAAATATATATTTTATGTGACAAAAATGAATTAATCTCGTACCTATCATAAGTTGAAACATTTAGTTGATTTTTGTATAGCTTCATTAAAAGAAAATTAGAAAATTGTAGAGACAAATTTGGTATTTCAAGTGATTTTTTTAAAATTAAAATCCTATGAGTGTGACTCATTTCAATGTAACTTACTTATTTGGAAATGAAAATATCAAAAATTAACTAGTTATTCATGGTATTATTTAATTATTGTGCTTAAATTATTCATGATGGAGATCTAAATTATTGAGCTATAGTTTTCCTTGGTTTTTAATTTGTCTTATAATATATATTTTTGTTATTTGATAATTGGTGGAGCCATTGTTAGTAAAATATATGTTAGTACAAGAATTATTTACTGCTTCAAAAAAAGTTAATCTATCTGAATGAATAAATATTTTTACAAATAAAATTTTTTATTATGTAAATACATAAGAAATTTATTGAATTGTAAATATATTCTACACAAAATATGTATCATACGTTGGGATGAGAAAAATATTAAATATTTTTATATTACAAATGTTGTATTTAATAAAAAAAGTATGTATTGTAAA